TGAGGTTCCTTCCAACCCCACCATGCTGTGATACTGTGACTGTTGTTGTACATGTCCTGTCACCAGCACAGAAGTGTTTGTGTGTCCTAGCTGTGGGGCTAGAAAGAATTCCGCCAGCATTGAAGGGAAAGAAATGTGCAGATAAAAAGCGTTTCCCAGTTTAAGCTTCTGTTGGACCAAATTCCTTCACCTCTCCTGCCCTTTAGCATGGAGTCCATCCCACCATTAGGCACTGACACCCAGACGCTCCTTGGGCAGAAGCAGAACTCCTAACATAACAGCATCCCCCCCTCTACTGCTCCAAAATCACGAGCACCACCAAAACCACTGCAGGATATTCCAAAGAGAGAAGACCATCTCCCTGGGTTATTTGCTTGGATCAGCCTCAGGCAGCCTGCAGCTGAAACAAGACTAACACCAATTTTTTCCTTGTGTGCAGACAAATTGGAGAAGGAGGATGAGAAATGAGAGCACAGATCAGCGCTGGTATGGGGAAGGCAAAGCGCTCATCTACACACTGTAGGGCAAGAGGTTGCTGGCAACATGAAGACAGAAAAACAGATACAGAAACCAGTAATTTTAAGAGTTCCTAACGACATGTGGAGAGCCAGCAGCCACCAACAGTCACAAGCACCTTATAAAACCACATCCCCAAAATAATCCAAAAGGGAGTGAACAAAACAAACTGTCCCACTTCTGTGGGTAGATGGGCACAGGACAAAGGCAGGGTCAGGGAGTGAACATACCTCTGGTTGGATCAAACATCTCTGACAGCTCTTTGGGAAGTTCCAGTACTGCAAATACAACAAACCACATGGTTTGCATCATTATATGAAGAGTCTGAAATGCTTTACAGCATAATCACCTCCTGGCTACAGTAGCCCTTACACACCCAAATCATCATATGCCACCCAGAAATTCTGCTCCCACACCCCACGTGACTTATTTCTGCTGAAATGAGCAGCAGTAAAATAGTTAAGATGTGCCAGGGGAAATTGAGATGGGATGTGAGGTAGAATTTCTTTGCTGAAAGGGTTCTGAGGCATTGGAAGGGGTTGCCCAGGGCAGTGGTGGAGTCCCCATCCCTGGAGGGATTGAAGAGTCGTGTAGACACAGTGCTGAGGGACATGGGTTAGTCATAGGGGACTTGTCAGTGTTGGGTTCATGGTTGCACTCGAGGATCTTCAAGGGCTTTTCCAATCCAGGCAATTCTGTGTGTGACCACTTTGAAATGGATCTGTAGGAGCCCCAGGACGTGACAAGTTATCACAGTCAGCAGGTCCAGAGCAACTGCCTGTAGGTAAGCCTGTGTGAGCTACACTTGAGTCAGATCTCCTCCCCTCACCTAGAGCATTTCTGCAGTGAAGGCCACTTCGAAACATCAAAGCAGTGTGTCTTACCCAGAGGATGCTCTTCTCCTTGGGCCAGCCTGCCATTTCCTGGCATAAAGCTCAAATGTTCCTTTTTTAAAGCTCATTTCAACACACCAAGCACATCAAGGAGCTCCCCAAACATACACTGAGAGATTGTGAAGACCACAAGGTCACTAAAGATACATGACGTGTCTCTGAGTAAAGGAGGAAAATGGAGACTAGAGCTCTCCTAACAAAGGAAAACTCCCCACAGGTTACAAAGGTGCTCTCAGCTAAAGTTGGAAATCCTGTAGCTTCATGCAGCCTCAAAAACTGGACCTAGCACTGCAGAAAGGGAATAATCCTACCTGTAACAGCAGGGATGTGTGTCATACGACTGTCCCTTGCACATTTTCTAGCACTGGTGTCACAGAAAGCGTCAAAACACTAGAAATGACACAGTCACCCCTCACCAGTTTCCCCAGCACCCTCACAAGGAAATGCCTCTCATCCCCTGCAGAGCCTGGCTGGCAGCAGAGGCAGAATGGAGTTCAACTTCTTCCTCCAGGGCCAGCAGCCTCGCCCCTGCTCCAGGTGACAGACTTTTAGAGCAGGACATGAAACAAAGGCGCATACTCACTTCCCGTGGGATCGGGCTTGATGGGCTCGAAGGAGGTAGAGGAGCTGGGCAGGAGGGAGCTGCTGTCCAGCGAGGCAGAGGACTGTAGCGGCTGCGTGTCTAACCCGGCCGGCTGGGCGGCCGCGCTGCTCAGGGGATCAAAGTCACCGCTGCTCCTGGACTCTGCCACCGAGACACCGTCTTCTGGAAAGAGCCACAGGCACACAGGGGAATGTCATCTCCCACCAGCCAGGGAATGTCATCTCCCACCAGCCCCAAAGCAAGCAGCTGCAGCATTGAGGGATTGAGGGATTGAACCCTCGCTGGCAACGCTGCCCAGGCACAGGCAGCTCCAGAGGGAAGGTGGCTTCTTGCTTTCACCCAGCAAAAACTGCCAGGTCCTGCTGCAGCTCCACTGGAGAGCAGTGCTGGTCGTGCCAGGCTGCACACAAGCCAGGAACATGTTCTCACAGCAATGAACACACACCAGGGAGTAAGCTACAGCAGGAGAAGCGTGGCCAGCACACTGAGGGAAGTTACTACCCTCCTGCTTGGGGCTGAGGCTGCACTTGGAATACTGTGTCCAGCTTGGGCTACACTCCACTTCAAGAAAGATGTGGAGAAGATCCAGCTGAGGGCCACCAAGATGGCCAGGGATCTAGGGCACATGGCCTATAAGGAGGGGTGGAGGGAGCTGGGCTTGTTCAGTCAGGCAAAGAGAAGTCTAAGGGCAAGGTAAGAGCAGCCTGCAGCTACCTGAAAGGCAGTTAGAAAAATTAACAACTTCTCGGTGGTACCAAACGATGCAACGTGCACAACAGGCACGAGATGCAGCTCAAAGGATCCAGACATCATAGAATCATAGAATGGGTTGGGTTGGAAAGGACCTTAAAGCTCCTCCAGTCCCAACCTCCCTGCCATCAGCAGGGACACCTTCCACTAGACCAGGTTGCTCAGAGCCTCATCCAACCTGGCCGAGGAGCAGCCACAGCTTCTCTGGCCAACCTGGGACACTGTCTAACCACCCTCACAGTGAAGAACTTCTTCCTAATATCTCATCTAAACCTCCCCTCTTTCAGCTTAAAGCCATTTCCCCTTGTTTTGTCATTAACTGCCCTTATGGAAAGTCCTTCACTGAGAGGGTGCTGCAGCCTGGAAGAGCTCACCGAGGAAGCTGGAGATCTCCACTGCTGGAGGCTTCCAAACTTGGGCTGGACAAAGCCACAACCAACCTAATCTAGTATTTTTGACAGTCTTTTTTCTAACTGAAAGCTGAACTCGAGACTCAAAAAAACCCCCTTTTACAAGCTTCTGCTAACCCATGAACCTGCATGACCAGTCTCTCCCCCACCACTGCTCCTACAGGCTGGCACCACCTCCCCAAGCCAAGCGTGTTGATGGAGATAAGACAATCCCACTAATCAAGACACAGACAAGGCTGACTGCAGCAAAGGCAGAGGTGTCCCCTTTGCCAGGAGCTGACAATGCTGCAGTGCCAGCCTCAGCCAGGCCAAGGAACATCCTCTTCTGTTGGCCACCATCCCATTTCTACCTCCTGCAGCCTCCCTCTCACCTGTGCTTGGGGCTTTCTGCGCAGGAGGGCTGTGGTCCTGAGTGCTGGTGGGTGTTGGTGTTGAGGGCTGGGTGCTGCTGGGAACAGACGCCTCCTGGAAGTGGGTGAGTGGTGGTATCTGTGGTTTTGAGGGTGCAACTGCCTGGCACTGAATGAGGTCTTCAGGGGGAGGGACGGGTAGTACAACAGGAGGAGAGCTCCAAGCATCTTTGTTGACTAAGAGAACATCAATGGGACCACTTGTGCTCTTCAGATGGATCTGGTATTTCTTCTGCCCATTTAGGCCCTGAGAAAAGTCAAAAGCAAAACACAACCACACATTAATGAACCTTTTCCAACAGAACAGGAAGTTCTCAGAGACAAGACGTGCTGTCCAGAGAATTCAGCACGGTTCCACACACAATTCCCCTGACTCCCAGGACTATCCTCTCCCCTGGTGCTTCTGCAACTACTCACGTACTTCCAAACATCAGAGTTTCCTGGCAATTATTTAATATCTGGAGACTTCCTTGGGTTGCCACTTCCTCCAACTCCATCCAACCCCTGACTGCCAACTCCCAGCCTGGTCAATCCAGTAACACCCCCCACCCCAACACGCACCCCCACGTCCCCCCACCCATTTCTCACTCACCTCAGGGATGGGAACCTCCAAACGTGTGCCTGATTGGGCTCGAATTGCCAGGAGGGTGTCTCCTGTGAAAACAAACTGGTCAGCACTCAATGGGCACAAACTGTTTTGATGATGACTGAGCACGGACAAGAAGCCCCTCCTCAAAGCCCCCTATCTCCTGTGCTCCCTTCTGTGGAAGATTGTGGTTTACAGCCACCTGAGCCCTGGGACAGGCTGCCCAGAGAGG